AACACATTTGTGCACAAGTATGTATATGTCTATGTCTACACACATAGACATGTATATATGTTTTGTCATATATGTACATGTGTATATATCAAAATTCTATCTCCACAAAATCAGATCAGGGTAAAAATTAGAAGGATGAATTCAAGAGTCAAGATAACTCTCTTAAGAATTTCAAGATAGAAAACTGGGAAATTTTGCCCCAAAATGATTGTGCAAGACTACTCCTTCTTACCTCATAACAGAAGGTTGATTTTGCTGGAGAAGCAATTTGCCTATTTAAAAGACAACATTTTCCAACTTCCTTCAATGATAGCAGTGTCCGTGGGGATGTATGCAGAAATAGCAAAAACAGGCTTCAGAGATAATATCTTTTTGTTTCTTGCCTTTGCTTTCTTCCTTGTTGAAACTCAAATGTGATGGATGATGCAATGGCATCCCCACTGTGAGCCTGTGGAAGGAAACCAAGGGCTAAGAAGACAGGGGAGAAAGACAGAAGGAGCTGTCTTAGTATTCCAGGACGATCTGGCCATGGTACATGGATCTAAATTTATAGATTAGTTGCTATTTCAAAAAATAGCCCAACAATCTTACCTCTTTGTCCCGACCGGCAGGACACATCAACGGACGGCGGCGAACCTAGGTGGGGAGGAATGAAGGGACAAGAGACACGAGGGATGACAGCAAGACAGGAGTTCTGATCAAGCTGCAAACTTTTATTGTTCACACAAGGGTATTTATATGATGGGGATGGGGAAGCTCTCTTATCAGCAGTTGCTGGATGTCTTCACAAGGTGAGATAACCTCAGGATGTTTCAGGAAGACAGATGGCCGCAGGATGTCTCAGGGAGATAGATGGCTGCAGGGTGTCTCCCAGGCAGGATGTCTCTTGTAAGTGTCAGGCTATTTGAAGGAGAATTTCCTTCTAGCCCCAGGCACCTCTTTATTTCACTGACTTAATATATAGAGTCACACATTACTTAACAACAGGGACATGTTCTGAGAAAGCCATTTTTTAGGAGATTTTGTTCTCCCATGAACTTACACAAACCTAGACTGTATAGATCAGTCACTTGATATAACCTCTTTTATACCTAGGGTAAACACAAGTTGGGTGAGGCTGCTGCCAGCAAAACAGGGCAGGCTGTTTTACAAAAAAAACTAGCTTATTATGAGTAGAGGAATATGCTCTAAAACAGTGATAAATCGTATAGTGTGTTAAACACATAAATCAATAGCATAGTTATTATTACTAAGTTTTACATACAGTATATAATTGTATTGATTTATTTTATACACCTGACAAAACAGTAGGTTTGTTTACACCAACCTCCAATAAACATGTGAGTAATGCTTTGTGCTATGAAGCTGTGAGGGTTATGATATCTTTAGAGAACAGGAATTTTCAGCTCCATTATCATCTTATGAGACCACTGTTATATACACAGTGTATTGTTGACTGAAACATCAAGTAGTGATAACTGTATTTATGGAGAACCAACTGTGAGTAAGACCCTTCCTTGGGTACTGAGAATACAGAGCGAGTCAGGCCAACATTTTCCCTAAAGAAATTTATTGTCCAGGGGAAGAGAGATCTAAAAACCAGTAATTATGGGATATAAACAATCTAAAAAGTAATATGGCAAACTCTGAGCTTCTGTAGTTGTTGTACTTCAATATATTTCTCTTGGGTCATAATATGTCTAATTCATATAATTTTCTATTTTCTAAGAACTTGTACATACATTGAGAGTTTGTTGTCCATATTCATGACAGCATTTGAGGCTAGTTCTTGCACTGATTTTAAGAAAATACTTAGTACTATTCATGCACAAGGCATTGGCTAGGTTTAAGGAGAATACAAAAAGTAACAGCCAGCCTTCATATAGCTTTGTGAGAGTCCCTAAGAGGTACAAAGCATGATGAATCCACATGGCCAACAGAGTCCTTCTTTCTTTAGAATCCCTGGTTGACAGAGAGACTTTAAAAAAGTACAGCAAAATGATAAGTGTTACGAAGACCAGTTAATAAATGTAGAAAGAGTACTAAACCATAAATTTGGTGTGTTTCAATTCAATCATAGCTTTAGGCAAGATTCATAAATGGATTTTAAAATTATTAATTGAAAACTCAAAAGAGTTTTCACACAAAGACCTGCACACTGCTTATAGCAGCTTTATTCACAGTTGCCAAAACTAGCAAGTAGATGAAAAGATAAATAAGTTATAGAGCACCAAGACAATGGAATATTATGTAGGGATAAAAGAAAATGAGTTCTTAAGCCACGGCAAGACTTCAAGAACCTTTAATGCATGTTACTAAAAGAAAGAAGCCAATCTGAAAGGCTACATACTGTATGATTCAAATCATACAACATTCTGAAAGGCAAAATACAAAGAAGGTATTTCCCAGGGCAAGGGTGAGAAAGGGGATGAACAGGAAAAACGTAGAAATTTTTAGATCAGAGGTAAGTCTGTATGATACATGTCAAAATCCATAGAACCTATAACACTAAGAATGAACCCTCATGTAAGTTGTGGACTTTGAATTATAATGATACAGCCATGTAGGTTTATCAGTTATAACAAAGGTATTACTCTGGCTTATAATGTTTGGTGGTGGGAAAGTTGGGGACACTGGGGAGTACTGGGGATCTCTGTGCCACCTGCTCCATTTCTCTGTGATCTTAAAACAGCTCTACAACAATAGTCCATAGCTTTAAAAATTTACTAAGTGAAACATTTTGGGGAGCAAGATAGTCACCTGGTGCCCAAGTACCATCCCATAGACTTCTAATAATCAGAAGAGGAAAATAAGTCTTTAGGATAGAGAAAGCTTATGGCTGCTGTTCTCTTCCAGCATCACTGGACACTATGATGTGCTGGTGGTGGGTTCAAAATTATATAAGACATTTTGCTGAGAGCCATAGCCAAGTAGGAATGACACATGGCAATTTCCTTGTCAGCCTACCCAGTGTTGCTTAGAGGGAGGACTCTCCATTGTGGAAATGGGCTTGCCTTGGACCCAGGTCATTTGCAGTGACATTGCATGAATGTTTGAGAAAGGTGACCCTGCTCAAGGACCAGGGTGGATCTGGGTTTAGGGAGGATCCTGCTGGGAATAGGGAGTATCCTGCTGCCTCAGGCACCCGCTCCTTGGATTTAGGGCCTTGGGTTTAGGGCAGTTCCAGGTTTAAGGTGGACTCTGCTGGGAATAGGGCGTATCCTGCTGCCTCAGGCGCCCACCCGCTCCTTGAGTTCCCCTTGAGTTCTCGCGGGATTCAGAGAGTATTTTGGGATGCAGAGCCCGGTGGAGGTGTGGAATTTTTCCCAGAACGTGCATGTAGAGTGCCGGTGAGAGGTCGGGAATAAAGAGTTGCTGTTTGAATCTACAAGGCGGTGTGGTGGCCCGGTGATTTTGTACCCAGCCAGACTGCGGCAACATTTTCTTGCTGAAAATGTTTAGTCTAAATATAATCAAGCTTCTAAATCTAACTTGAAGTTTCTAAAAGACACAGGGAATGGAAATCCAACTAAATGACACTATGAGAAAAAAAACAATAGAAAACAAGGAACATTCTGTATGATACCTGGTGTGGACTCTTCTAAGAGTTAATGATACTTAAAGAAACAATTTTTAAAGTTGGGATAGAGATATTATAGACAAAAAGATACTAAGAGGATACCATAACCAAGTACAATGCATAAATTTTGACTAGGTCTTTGGGTAAAATAGGGAAATTTGAATAAAGATTAACATTAGATAATAGTATGGAATTAATGTTAATTTAACTAGATCTAGCAATTTTACTGGGGTTGTACAGAAGAACTTCCATTTTAAGAGATGAGTGCTGAACACTTGCAGTACAATATCATGATATCTGCAACTGAAGTTCAAATGTTTCGGCCAGAGATAAAGGAAAGTAAAGAAAGAAAATATGGTAAAATATTAGGTACAATTATTTGATTAAAGTGTAGGTCCTTGGGACATTTATGTATCTTTTCCTCAGGTTTTCTGTGTGCGGGAAATTTTCCAAAATAAAAATTGGGTGAAAATAATGTATCTTGACTAGTAAATTGTTTCTATGAGCCATCACTTGTATTTCGCATTTTCTTAACTAAACTAAGGAAGTGTTTGTGTTCCCCATGTAGAAATCAAGATTTCAGGATACCTGTGAGAGGGCATATGAGAGTGACAGTGTTCCAGCCATAAATTACATTTTCACATGAAACACCTCTATTTAGACACTTTGGAAGTTGAAAACACAAAATGTATGGAGTACATTTTTTTTGCACCATTACAAACACAGGTGAAGCCCAGGCAAATTCTCATGGTGAACACGCCTCATCTGGCATCCAGACAGATATCAAAAGGTGTGGGAGGCCAAGTCAAACGGAAAGTACTTAAGAGACGACCGGTAGCTGCAGACATGAGCTGTGTTTGCTTCAGCCTTGGTAAGGACGCCTGTGTCATCTGAGAGCAACATTTGTGTAGGTAAGATTACGTTCTTTGGTCCTTCATAAGAATATACTAGGTGGGTGTGTAGAACCAATCTGTGCCCCTGTTTAGAATTTATACTAATGATTTAGTGTAAATCTTTTTATACTGTTTTGTATATAAATTCTAAACAGGGGCATGAATTGGTTCTATTGTTATATCCAATGTCTCCTTGTTCTTGCTTTCTGATTGTTTTTTGGTTGTCTTTTATGGCTTTTGTCAGGTTAAGAGGAATGTTGGATGAGAGAACAAGAGCAGTTGAGGAATGGTACTTGCTTATACCCATGTACCACCAGGAGAGCACCTCTATTTGGCTTTGTATTTGTACCAGTGTGCATACAAACAAGTGCCTATATTTGGTCTCTCAGCAGGTTCCTACAATTACTAATAGCTAACATGGAGAATAAGACTTGGATTAACTCCCATGAAAACGTCTCTCCCAACACTTCTTAACAGTTTCATAGTTGAGGCACAATCCTGAATCCCAGTGAAAAACTCGCCACGCCTTGGTGTTGAATATCTTTATGGATGATTACTGCAAATTCAATGACAGTATCAAAGAGTCTCTTGTGCAAGTGATACAAGCTAATGTTTGCCCAGAATTTTGGAATTTACAAAACACTTTTTTTACATTTGTTCTTTCACTCTGTGTGGCATTCCTGGGAGATGGATATGGTACTCACTTCACAGATAGATATATATGTGTATACACACACACACACACACACACACACATGGCTTAGAAGGGCAATATGTGCCCAAATTGCTCTACTAGTAGGTTGCAGAGCCAGCCGTTGAGTTCATGCCTCCAAAGTTGAATCCTGCTCATTGCAGGTATCCAGTTACAACACTTGTGTAGAAATGGTACTGATCTTTACTCCATTCTCAGCCAATCCTTTAACCCAAAGCACACAGTACATGCCTGAAAAAAAAAAAAAAAACATGAAAGAAGATCCTGTGATTCAAAGCCCAGTGTACTAAAAGTTACTTAGGAAAGTTACATGTGTAATGGTCAAAGGATGAACAGTTGTGAAATTCTCCAGTATGGGCTCCAGTCCCACTTCTACTTAGGAATGGTGCAATCCTTGGCGAGTTCCATCCCCAAGTGAGTCTCTCTCTTGCCCCACAGGGCTATTTTAAGGATTGAATAAAATAAGGCAAAGACATACACACACACATAGTGTCATTTATTACTTGGTAAATATTTGCTTATCATTATGCTTCGAGATTTTTTTTTCTGTCTTTCTGGTCACCCCAATTGCCCAAGCCTTCATCTGAAAGCAATCATCTTTTCTGGCCAGCACTTCCTATATCACATGTACTTTTTTCCTTTGTTTCAAAATTGAGTGCTTTCAGTGGTCTGAAAAAAAAAAGTGTACTCCCTTGGTTCAGTGACCATTTAAACAATGAATGACTGGGAAAATGTCAAAACTCCTGTCCTCTTTAGCTGGTGCGGTGGCACAAGCCTATAATCCCAGTGGCTAGGGAAGATGAGGCAGGAGGATCCAGAGTTTAAAGCCAGCCTCAGCAACATAGTGAGACCGTAAGCAACTAAGTGCCCTGGATTCAATCCTAGGTACAAAAAAAAAAAAAAAAAAAAAAACCTCTTGTCCTCCAGGTGATTCACAAGCATAACAAAATACTGCTGAAACTTAACAATTTAACAACCTTCATAACAAGGTACATGAATATCTTTCAAGATAAAGCACATCATCTACCTTGATAATAAACTGTACCATAAAGAAAAGATAGGAGAAAAAAATTCCAATTTTCATGTGTTCTTCACATAAAAAGACTCATACTGCCTTCTCCACCATACCTTTATTTATGTTAAGTAAATGATAAGATATGGTTTCCTCTCATCAGTGAAATACACTATAGGTTGCTTCAGGATTATTTATGCTTGAGACAGAGAAGTCTGTATAAGCTTGGAGAAGGCAGTGAATTTTCTATCACTTGATCTCTCTCTCCATTGAAAATGTGTAATCTGCATTAATTTAGCAAACATTAAGGTTAGTGGAAGTTCCTAAAATTTCCCCACAATAATATCTTTAAGAATATAGTTAATATTCGTAGTAAACCCAAATGTGTAAATAAAAGAGATTTGTAATACCTTTTTCTTTCTCACTTGAAGGTAGTCTTCTAAATAAATCTCAAATACTATGCTCTCTGCCACTTTTTCTTTACTGCGCTGTTTAGAATCAGACTCGATGTCATAGAACCCCTGGACAAAAAGCCCTTTGTTGAGACCATACCTTATACCACTTACCCATGCTGTAGCCCTGAGTTTACTTGACAGTCTCTCAGACTCTGTCTTCCTCAAGGGCAAGGACTATAACTTAGCATCTTGAAAACTCAACATCAAATGTTTTAAACCTAACTTGTGGGGATTTTTCCTTCACTTCTGAAACTCACATAATTATTTGCAGAGATGCCTTAGAAACAATGCTTGTTTCCTCTTATCTAAGTGGAAATTTCTGGCAGGTCAGGGCTCACAGCAGGATGATATAACAACCTGGGTCTCTTGGCATCCTCAGGCCCCAGAGATAACTCAGAGTTAATCCCTGACCGACTTAAAATGAAGTAGAAGTTGTACAAAAAGATTTCTTTTTTACAAACCTGATTTTTGTTGAGGTTGGGGGGAGGCCATGTGCTAACCTGTTTAGTTTCTTAGTGACAGCTCTCTCAACTGTAAAGCAGGGCAGCCCCCGTGACAGTTAAATGACAGAGCATGCTGAGTGCTTAGAATTTGCCTGATATATGGAAAGAGTTCCATAGCAGTGATAGCCATGGTCTTTTGACCATTATTATTATTATCGTCATGGTGGTGGTGATTTCCTCAAATGGCTCTGGTTTGTTTGAATAAGGATTTTGTTCGTGCCTGTGCCTAATTTCTATAAAAGGACGGTGTAAGGAGCGAATATAACAGATTATGATTACCAAACAAGGAAGTGTCACAAAATATAAAAAATCCTCTTTAAAAAAAAAAAGTGGCTCTGGGAAAAGGACACATTAGCTCCAAGAAAAGCCTATTCTAATGGTAAAGACCTCGACTACAATTCAGGAGACCTTGGTCCTAGATCCCCATATTGCCTGTTTTATTAGTTAGCTGTGTATACATGAATTATTATTGTGGGCTGTCTCTCACAAAGAGGTATTATGGTGAGCAAATAAAAACGGGTAATGGTTTTATTTGCATTATAATATTACTTATATATGTTATCAATGCCCAATGAAAAACAAATCTCTGTTAGACGTAAGATCATCAACTGTGTTCATATAATAGAAAAATGCCTGGAGTATTGGTTTACTTGTCCCAAAGTATTGGTTTACTTGTCCCATAAGTCTAGATGAGTCAAGACACAAAGATGTTATGTCCCTAACTATAAACCTGCCCTAGCAATCTGTGGCCCACCTATCCATCAAATTATATTATGTGTAAAGTACCCTAAAAATCTGGAAGTTTCTTGTTAACATAAAATAATCTCATAATGATTGCTTATATAACAAAAATTCAACGATTTTGGCAACTGATGCTAAAACAACAGGTCAAAAGTATGGTGGTCAAAGGTAAATTCCCTTGCTCTGATTAATTCATATGCACTGCAGTTGCTGTAATGTCATGAATTTATCAACTCCCTTTTTCCTTATCAGGACATCATTTTCTTCAGTCATTCAACATGAGTACGATGGTAGACACCGCCATTTTTCTGGGGAAATTTCTGTATTACTTTTTAGAATCTGTAGCTTTCAAGATAATTCCCAGGAAAAAAAAGGATGTTGCTGGTGAGATTGTACTTATAACAGGAGCTGGAAGTGGACTTGGGAGGCTCTTAGCCCTACATTTTGCCCGCACTGGGGCCATTTTAGTTCTCTGGGACATTAATCAAGAGAGCAATATGGAAACATGTAGACTGGCCAAAGAAAAGGGTGGTGTGAAAGTCTTTGCCTATAAGTGTGACTGTAGCAACAGGCAAGAGGTCTACAGCGTCGCTGATCAGGTAAGCTGACTGATGTTCTTTGCTTTGATGCTCAAGAATATTGCATCTACTGTGCACTTTTTATAAAGACAGGACGAAAGTCATTTGTCATACGCTTCCCCCAACATTCTATATGTGTCTCCAACTTGCTTCTGCATGTCAGAAGTCTGGCTGTATGACCTCCAAAAATAAGTAGAGCATACAAAACTGCAAGTGGAAACTTGAGCAGCCTTCAGAGCCCAATGTTGCCAGACTGCTTTTTTCAGTGACTCACTATCAGGAGTTTGTAGAAACCGTGCATACTCCTGGCTTGCTACTCGTTGCTTGTGCAATATTTACAAAGTTATTCTCCCTTTCTACATCCTTGTTTCTTTATCTGTAAAACAAAAGGACTGAACCAGATGAAATTCAAGATTATGTCCAGTATTAACTTTCTATGTTTTATGATTCTAATGCCACTTAGATTCCATTCCATCATGTGATGATTCCATTATCATCAAGTTCTGAAAATATATATAACATGGAACATAAGGTAAAAGCATTTAGCATACTGGTAGACCAAGTTTCCTGTTAGACATAACCTATTGACATTTGTTCTAACTTCTTACTGAATATTAATAAATAATAATAGCTAAGATTAATTATATAGTTATATAGTACTTTTAAAACAATGGTATTGTTTTCCTGAGTGTTTTAACCATGAGATAAGGTGTTAGGCAACTGATGCAAATCAAGAGAGAGGAACAGGATAGAGTTCTACAGTTTTGTTAAACTCACAGTTCCCTGGGGAAAACAGCACAGCATACAGAACCACTGGATTGGCGGGGGTGTGGGTTATGAGACAGAGGGAGAGTGGGGACTACAGGCATATGCCTTTATTGTGGTTTCCAGGGGAAAGAACAGGCAATGCAGGGTGAACAGGTTTAAGATTGGCTAATTTTAATAATTTCTAGAGGCTCTAAGGCATAGGAGTTATCCTGATTTTCTGGTTGCTGGCCCTGGGATGATTGGGGTATGTATATAATCTCCCAGAGTTTGAGACTCCAATAAAGGGAAGTGATGAATATGTGGACCTAATTGCCTGCTCTTGAAGGAAAACCAATCAGCCTCTAGCCAAGGCCACAAAACTGGGTTAAGACAGCACCAAAAAACCATAAACTAGCAAAATAAAACAAATAGCAGCCGCACTAAATTCATTACAAATAGCAATTTATGCACATAATAACTCAATCAGCACATTGCAACCTACTTAGGTACATATCATGATTATCATCACATTAACAAATGAGGAAGCTTCAAGGGACTGAGTGACTATGCAGCATCCCAAGAGTATAAAATTAGCTACTGGCAGAGCCAACGGTGTAACTCAGGCAGTACAGAGCTAAAGTGCACACAATTTGATAAGAGAATCCCCAAGGGATTATCCTTCCCTTTGGCAATCTAAGTCCCACTTTGTAATTCATTTATCAATTCATTCAGTGAGATTGATCAAATCATTTTATGTGCATGTAAAAATATGGTATAATGAATTCCATTATTATCTGTAATTATAATTTACCAATACAAATTCTTTAAAAATGGCGAAACTTAAAAAATAATGAAATCACTACTCTGTGACATTGACCTTCTGAAGCCCCCTTCATTCTTCACTTTCTATTACTTTCTTCTTTTTTTTTTTTTGGGGGGGGGGTCCCACATGAAGTTGTTCTTCATAACTCATTTCCAGCTAGTAAAAATAAGTGTGTTATTGCTCCCTATATGTATTTTACAATGGAGCAAGAAAAATCGAAGTCAGTCCTCGTTTTACAAAAAGGGAAAGAAATGTGACAGTAAAAGTTCCCATGTAAACATCCTTGGGGTGAGCTCAAGGATAAAGTCTGCTTGGCAGGGACTCCCTTCCCAATACCATGTACTAGCCAGACTAAAAGCCTTGAAAAAATCT